AAACTGCGATCAATACAGCATTATAGTTTATAACTAAGATCAAGATCAAGAAGCAGCCACAGGTTTTTACACCATCTGGAACACTATCCCCATGGCACTATAACTTTAGTTTACATGCTGTTACTTACATCTTTTCATGCACTGGTTCACCTTCTCCCTGCCTTTAGTAGCTGCTGTTAATCGCTTATTGACTGCAGTGAGGGTATTCACGCACTGAAAGTGATAACATGAGGTTACTTAGATACAATAATGTAACCCAACAAGAGTAGGGTACAACCTACACCTACTCTTGTTGGGTTACATTATTGTATCTAAGTAACCTCATGTTATCACTTTCAGTGCGTGAATACCCTCACTGCAGTCAATAAGCGATTAACAGCAGCTACTAAAGGCAGGGAGAAGGTGAACCAGTGCATGAAAAGATGTAAGTAACAGCATGTAAAATTATAGTGCCATGGGGATAGTGTTCCAGATGGTGTAAAAACCTGTGGCTGCTTCTTGATCTTGATCTTAGTTATAAACTATAATACTGTATTGATCGCAGTTTTATAATGATGTTGCAGTTAAAAAGTCTATCTAGCACAGTATATATTTTAAGAATGAGGCATACTGGTACATCTTTTATGGAATTCATGTAAAGTCTAGGTGCCAGTATACATGTGCCACTCGATGAGAGAAGTACCATACAGACCCATCATGAGAAAACCCCTTTTCAGATCTATAATTTCAGTGCCATTTCAACCAATTAAAAACAGCATATCACCAAACATTATAATTTTACTTAAACCTAAAAATAAGTTTATTTTTATTCTAGTGTATGACATTGAAAAATATATTGATCCAGAATATGGAAACACACTACTACTTCCCCAGACCGCAAAGCTAGAGGTGATTCTAGATGGTAAGTACCACAGTGAGCAATGATAATTTACTTATTTTGTTCTTCATTTAAATTTGCTCAAATGAACATTGGATTGAATCATTGAACAGATTAGTTGACATTGCTATCACTCACCTTAGTTGTGTAATTTGAAGTATATTTGTTTTAATTCGTTTCTTGTGTAATAATATCAATATGGGTGTAGGTCTATGGTGATATTTGCAAATCAAGAATGAAAGGCCCTTATAGATTCATTTTCCTTTCCTGCTAATATTTAAAATATAAAGTGGGAATGTCGTGGATAAACAAATATATCCATCCAATCCTAACTTGTATTGTGAGCTTGTAGTACATGATAGCAAGAACTGTCTGTGCTGTAATTTGAATGAATTGTCTCCCATCAAAATGAAGACCTTCCATGATTTCCTTATGGTTACTTCAAAATACTGTAATCTTTAATAGTTTACAGGCTAATGCTGCAACATGAAAACGTTATAGTTTGTTATGCAGTGGTTGTTAACCGCTGGTTTTTTTTTCTTTACAGGCGAAGATCGTATAAGAGATATGGTAAGCCAGTTGGACAAGCTTGAGATACTAAAGCATGTTCTGAACAGTGAACATATAAAAGGTAAACCTGTCTATGATATATTGACACCTTCATTGTTCCTAGAAATATATTTCTTATATATCGGTAAAAAAATACCACATTGTAATTAGTGCAGAGGATGGCACGTGACGTGCCATAACGCTAATATTGTGTACTGAAAATCATTGTTGCGTCATTAAACAGTGCTGCTGCTTCGCTGCTAAGCATGAACCAGTGACATAGGACAGGTTATATTTTTCTCATAATCCTCAGAAATCGATGTTACCTTTAACCAGATGTCTAAGTTCACAAAAATACATGTTTACTATTGCAACTAGACAATAATTGTGTAACAACAGTAACATCACTTATATATATATTCGAACAGACTTAAATAAAAAAATATAAGCAAAATAATTATTTTCCTCCCTTCCATTTTGCTGCAGAATTTGTTATATCAAATGTAATAGGCATCTTAAACAGGTGTTGAATAAACTATCTGTCTAACTTTGGCTAATTGTAATTTCCATTTTGAATATTAATGTGAATTTTTATTCAGAAATTAATAATTCTCTTGGTTAAATATACATCAAAGTGAGGTACCTCTCACCAATCATCATGGAGGATTACCATTATGTGCATTATACAGGGTGTTAGCCAGGAAAACAAATCAGGGTGTCTCGCCATGTGAGTGAAGCGAGTATGCTGCGAGTACGAAGCGCCCTAGGGGGAGGGCCTTACCTTAAAATGGAGGAAATTTAGTCTGAAATGCCAAAAAGACAGTAATCTGATATGAATAATAAGCACTGTTGTCAGTTATACCAGGTGTATAATATATAAAATTGGGCCGCCCTCATGTCGTCTCTATCAAATTTTATTCTTCTCATCCAAGAATAGGCCATCCAAAAGACAGGTAGACGGGTCTCTGGCTAACACACTGGCATTATAACCGTGTAGTACCATTTACCTACTTGAATTGCAGCCACACCAGCATTAGCAGAGAAACTTCAGAATCTTAACCAGATCCATCTTCAGCAGCAGGATCAGGGAGAAAGCATCACAGAAGAGACTAAACAACTCATTGATACATACAATTCTCTTGTATCCTTTTTACACCATATTACCTTAATTGACTTGGCTACTGACCAGGGGCGTAAATCCGTACCGAGGAGTGGGGGGGATGATCGGCGATAGCCGGGGGCGAAATTAACCTTGGCTGCCGCAGGCCAGCCCGCGTGCCATAGGCATGCCAGTGCTAGGGGGGTCTGGGGGCATGCCCCCCAGAAAATGTTGAAATATTTAAGCCATTTTCCTGCAATCTGAGGCATACTGTGGGCCATATTCTCATGTCTGATGACACTATCTCAACCCTAGACTCAACCCTACCAAGTTAGGATTCAAAACACTTTTCATGACTTTTCAGAGAGCATACACAGTTAGGTTACTATAGTAATAATACATGTATTAAAACACAGGTAAGAATTACAATTTCTCACAATTTCACGTGTTTTTGTATGTTTGCAACCATACTTTTTGGCAATTCTTTTTTTTCTCTCTTTTTTTTAAATCTCAGCAGGGGATATTTGTACAGGCCATCTCCCCCTCCTTCAAGAGCGGGGGGATACATCCCCCCATCCCCCCGGGATTTACGTCCCTGCTACTGACCTTTTACCATACACTGGAGTTTTCAGTTTGGTCCATCACTCCATACAAAGCAAGGGCCATCAGCAACATCCCTCCAGTGAACCTGGCTTTGTGCAGTCTTTTTGTACTACTGTACTATATGCTTTGGATAAATCATTGTAAAAATTGTATATATAACATATAATAATTTTTCCTTAATAATACCTCAAGACAACTACAATATCAAAACAGTTCATTCAATGGAATACAATATTGCAAACTCATGAAGCCGAACTTTCAGATAAAAAGAAGTCAAAATAGCTATACAAGTGTTTACGGTCTAAGGAAATGGCTGAAAATGTATCTATATTTATTACATATATGTGTGTACAAAGCCTAGTAATTATTATATTCAGCAAAAAACATATATTGCATTGTGTTCAACTGTAATAATTTGAATTTTAGAACATGGTATTATACTCCATGAAAAAAAGATCTAGACAAAACTTTTATGGAATTAAGGAATTGACCATATAATCCTTACAGTGAATAGTATAATCGATGGTAAAATACATGGTTGCACCAGGATCTTCCGTATGCATGGTAAAATAATTTCAAATTATATTAATTTCTTTTGGAGATTCTTCTTAATACATGTAATAAACAAAAATATACACCACATTTTTGTTTTTTCTCTCTTTGATTTTGTAAGGTGAAAATACGTTGGACTAGTAGTGATGGCAGTATCTATACATCTGCGAATCATTATTTCATGATAATACATCACTAGTTATAATTTGCTAGTTTTCATGATCAATAATTATTGGTTCGTTAAACGAACCATTCCCTCGAAAATATTGTCAATCGTAAATTGTACTGGCTCTATCATGCTTCTGTTCCTACCTTCTTCTTCCTAGTCTTGATTTTTATTATCTGCAACCCAGCTATACCCTTGCTTCTTTGCTTTGCATTAATTATCGACTTTCCTTCTTTTCATCTATCGTAATGCTGTGCAATTCCTATATTTTACTGGTTACAGATACTGCGGATAAATTGCTGCATTATTTATATTATGCCTGCCAGATCCAAGAAATGGTCGAGGCAGATTTTGTTTTTAGCAAAGACTATACACTATACAATTGTATATGCGTTTTGTCATTAGTTTCGCAGCCGATCAGGCCACAGGTGAGTGGTGAGAATACTCAGAATAGTAGAGGTAACAGTAGAGATAGCAGTAGAGGTGGTAGATGGCAGTAGATGTAGCAGTTGGGGGGGTAGAGGGTAGTAGAGGTGACAGTAGTCCGACCAGGCTGTGTGACTAACGTCAATATACACATGGTCTCTTGATGTATGACCGTTTCTTGGAGCTAAGGTGACAGTGTCACAGTAGTGGTACCGGTAGTATTGGGGAAGAGAGAGACGTCTACGAAACTTCTGCTTCTCGTATAAGTCGTCCGCCTTTTGCCTCTTCTTTTGCTCCACCGTTTTTAACTTCCTCATTATCCACTTACACATTTCTCTCTTCCGCCTATAGAGGGTTCCGCGATTTTTCATATTACCCACAATGCAACGCCGCCGGCCCTAAAGGATACAGAAACCAGTTCAGGCATGGTACAAGTACATTGAGCAGCGCACCTCTGCTAATTTTATATTCGCCTATTAAGCAAATGCATCACAACGCCGCTCTCCTGCGGTGTTGTCAACTGCAGCAATCGGTATCAGAGTGAGCCACACGGCTTTTTTAGGCTGCCTAGCGTGATCACAACACAGGGTAAAGTGACGAGAGACCAGGCGGACCACCGACGCTTGGAGCATTTTCAATAAAAAAGCAATGCTGAATAAACATGAAATGTATTTACTACCAATGTCTTAATGTTTCTCTACTCTCTTTCGCCTAGTATTGCCGATAATTACCTGTAAATGCCGGTCAAATGATCCTCTGCAACATACAGCCTACAGGTACACCGCACGCACGGCACATGC